TGTAGTGTGAGTGTGATGTAGTCAAGATGTAGACTGTGTTGTCATGGTGACAGAACACCACAGACTCTCCTCACTAATCAATATCTCCCACCCACCTACACACTGTAGTCATTGACACACTGTCTACATGTAGTGTGAGTGTGATGTAGCCAAGATGTAGACTGTGTTGTCATGGTGACAGAACACCACAGACTCTCCTCACTAATCAATATTTCCCACCCAGCCTACACACTGTAGTCATAGACACACTGTCTACATGTAGTGTGAGTGTGATGTAGCCAAAATGTAGACTGTGTTGTCATGGTGACAGAACACCACAGACTCTCCTCACTAATCAATATCTCCCACCCACCTACACACTGTAGTCATTGACACACTGTCTACATGTAGTGTGAGTGTGATGTAGCCAAGATGTAGACTGTGTTGTCATGGTGACAGAACACCACAGACTCTCCTCACTAATCAATATTTCCCACCCAGCCTACACACTGTAGTCATTGACACACTGTCTACATGTAGTGTGAGTGTGATGTAGTCAAGATGTAGACTGTGTTGTCATGGTGACAGAACACCACAGACTCTCCTCACTAATCAATATCTCCCACCCACCTACACACTGTAGTCATTGACACACTGTCTACATGTAGTGTGAGTGTGATGTAGCCAAGATGTAGCCAATGTTGTCATGGTGACAGAACACCACAAGAATTCAACACACAGAACATTCTTCAAAAGATATTTTGTTTGTTTATAGATCCGATTGTACACACTCAAGTTATTTAAACTGGTATCATTTTAGATAAGGTACTGATAACTGATTTCATATATATTCTTTTTTTTAGTTCAAGTGGAAACCTAGTAAAGGGAGTACATTTTATTGGTTACCCCGCAAATAATTGATTATGTAAACGTTTCTATACGTTTGAAATTTTGTACTCCTATTAATTGATATAACAGTTGTAACTCTTTTTGAAATATGTAGGCCTATTAACTTTCACTATTTATACAACTGGATATTCCACCCCCAAGTTGTTGTATGTTTTTCATCAAAACCGTTGTAGTTGATGTGAGCCAACATAAGATTGTGCTGATCTAAATTACTAATTTCTGTTGAATACACAAACTTGTTTACTACCGTAAGTCAAACTAATGAAATGACTTATTGTGAACTATAGTAACTGTTATGACTCATTAACTTGGCCAGGAACAAAAAAATAGTTATAAAGTAGAATTTTAGACACCAGCACATTCTTTAACTTGTTCACACAACTATGTTCTTAACATAAAATTGGCGACAGCTGGTCCAAATAGATAGGTAATCTACTTTAGTATCCAATGGTCAATGATATTAAGCTACAATACTAATACAATAGTTAGTAAAATTAAAATTAATACTTGCTAACTATTAGCAATTTTATTGTCTTTTTTGAGAATTGTACAGCCTATTATGTTAATAAACTGGGTATCCGGGTTATAACAACTGCATCAGGTGAAACTATCTGTGTGTATACAGCTGGCCAACTTCACCAAGAGCACTTATTGTTACCGTACCGGCTATGTCACTGTACCAGCTGACATAATAAACTAAAAATAAATTGGTTAATGATTAAAACCCCTTTAAGATCAGTACAATTTCTATAGTATCAATTTAATACCCCCCCCCCAAAAAAAAAAAAAAAATCACTAAAATTAATGTTGAGGTTTACATTAATAAAAGGAGATTTTATATTTAATCCCCCAGAGTCTCGCCCCATTTGCAACTTATAATTTTGTATCTTGTAAAGTTTTGTCACTTAATTTGCATTACCTCAACACTTAATTAGACCAAAGGCATTTGGCCAGACTAATGACACTTTCCATGCATAAATTAACATAATGTGAAAAGTTTTGTGTTACTTCAAATACAGCCTATTTTATTTAACACACATCAGATGCAAAATTTAATATTCCTGGTTGTAGTTCAAAAAATGTTTTGTATAACTTTATGGCAAATCTCTGATCTAAAAAGGTCCAATCTTAGATGAAAATCTTGCAAATATATATTAATGTTCATACCAAACCACAACAGATCTTACCTCCCTATTGGTTAATCACTTAGAAATCACTTGAATTTAATTTACAATATTAAGCTAGTATTGCATGGACACAATAGGTATAATGAATGGAAGCAGGAAGTATTGACTCACCGGGGAGGGTGTGAGAGCAGATACTGAGCCACACCCGCCACCCGAATCACCACCCCAATCCCACCCAAAATACAACCCCTCACCTCCGGGACCCACCACTACCCTCCCATCTCTTGCACTTCTTACAATTGTGTAATCATTTTGGTAATCACATTCAGTTTTAGAAATAAATAATTCAAAGACATATTTGATTGTTAGTTTATTCTTTCAGCCAACTACCAAACCTGTAAATTTACAAATTAAATAAACATTTTTCATTGATTTTAAACCTGAAACCTAAAGTGAATGCATATTACTGTATGTTTTCTACTTTCAATATTCAAAGTTAGGAACCTATAAAATATGGGGAAAATTTTGTATGAAATAATTAAGCCAAGACTAATTATTAATTGTATTAATTAATCACAGGCAACATAAACTGGGTTGAATAAAAAGGGAAAGTTTAAACTTGTGCTTAGTTTCTCTGGTTAACAAGTGAATTTTACTGCAAATAAAATAAAATTTTATTTTCTACTACTTCAGGAAACCAAGTGAAAGAACATTTATTGATATTGTTACAGTTGAAATTTATTTACTCAAGTGATGCAATTCACACATGTTTTTGTATTACTTATTGACACTAGTTATTTCACTTTTGAAGCACTGACATGAAACTAAATTGGACATTATACTTTTACATTAAAGCTGCTAAACTCATGACTAGTGTGTAACTAGAGGTGTGCCACACTGATATTTTCAGTCAAGCCAAACTAGAGGTAATAGCGTGATCATCTCCTGCGATCGTGGATACATCATCGTCGGCTTCTGGGAACACTGCAAAATCCTGAATATCTTCTTAAGTCCAAGAAAGGTAATAATTGTGAGGGGGTTTGTCTGTGCTGGTTCCACAGTATATGTGAATGAGCAACGCTGAATACCAACGCTTGAGCAATGACACTAAGTGGTATGCAACCGACCTGATTGCCTAATTTCTTCTGATCAGGCCCTTCAACAAAATAATATTTTCTCATATTTTTCAATGCTGAATAATTCAAAGCCAACTAATGAGATTAATGATAGACACAGAAAAATTTTTAACATTAATGTCCACAAAGTCCCTGGATCTGGCGATAGAAGCACTGAGAAACCAAATAATGGTGTTGACAAATCCAAATTGTTATCCATTTTGCCTGATCAAGATCTATCTCATGATGCTGTTCGAACCTTCTTTCGCACTTATAATTCTGCTGATAGAACTCTTTTGCCCATCAAAGCTCGTCTTCAAAAACAAGGTTTTAGCCTTGCGCTTATCAAGGACCTTTAATAATGGTACCTTGCCAAGCTTGCTGGTACCCTAGGCAATTCAATTCAAACATTCTTTATTTCGTAATTGTACATGAAATTCGTACATAGAATTGCGTCAACAATATTTCTCGACTACATTAAAAACTAAACATACTAAAACTCTTCCAATGAATACAGCGGTCTTGAAATTAAATAATTCTTTAGCAATTTTTTAAACTTAATAATACTTCTTTTTTAGTATTATTGGGTAAATCATTATAAAATTTTCCTCCAACATGTTGTTTTTTTTTTTTTTTTTTTTTTAACTCTAGTTTATGAATAGGCATTGATATGTTTTGCCTGTTTCTAGTATTGTAAGAATTACTTTCCCCTAGTAAACCCAATTCATCAAAGTGAAGCCTACAATACATGATCACTTCATAAATATACAAACTATAACTGTCATGATGCCAAAATTTTTTAAATGCTCTTTGACAGTATCTTGCCATTTTAGATTATGCATTATTCTTAAAGCTTTTTTTGGTTCAATGTTCTATTGACCGATTACATAATAAAAGAAAATTAAAAAAAAAAAATTCTTCACGTAGAGTAAAGCAAGTGGCCAGTCCAACCTCAATATAAAGTATGGAAATGACATATGTTGCATAACTAAGAAAACTAACTAGCTCCAACGGACAAATACTATCTCCCTACCACCAGTAACTATTCCATTCAAAATTTTGTCTATCCTCTTTCACACATTACTTCTTGGCACTCACCGAAACTAACCACTCCCCTGATATTCTCAGGGACACTTCAAATTGTTTCTCTATCTCACAAGACTATAGATGTGATGAGTCTTCTCAGGTCTATATCAGTGGAAATAGTGTCATGATTGCAGTTAGTAATGATATATCCTCCATAATTCCCACCCAACCCGCAACTTCGAATGCCTTTTGGTACAGTTGGTTTTTGGGTTCAATCTTAAGCTTGTTTTGTTGTGTATCTATATTCCTTCAAATACGCTGTCTGAATCCTCCCCTATTAATATTGTACTATGTATTCAGCATCAGGATCATGTAATGCCGACTGAATGGTGTCTCTCTCTCTCTCATAAACAAGGCTGACCAGTCTCCAGAAGTTAGGTTCAGTTTAAAAAAACATGTTTAAAACCTAAACATCTGTGGTAAGTACAATATTCTACTCTTTATCGAAATAATTAATGATAAACATCATTTTTAAGATACTTGTTATTAAAATTACTACTAACAGACAAATTATACTTCTAATACCACGTATCTTGTATTATTGTTATGTTATAAATCTGCAATGAATCCACAGGGGCCACATAGATTGAAATTTGCGGTTCCAATGTTTATTACATTGTTAGATTGTGGCTTCAAAAGAATAGTTTGAAGACTATAATACTACAATAACTAGTTTAAGGTTAGAATTATAAAAATAACCAAGCCAAAACAGTTGCCCAAAACTGATTTTTAAGATACGTGTTATTGTAGTTTACAATCCTTTTGTTTCAGATGCAGCATACGTGGTATTCAATACTACAGCAACAAAACTTTTCAACTTTAAATTAAGTTTGAGGAATATTTAGTAGGCCTATCAAGGAAAATGACTGAACCAACGGGAAGCGAAGATGATTTTATTGACGATATTATGAATCAATTGATGGTTGAAAATACAGTGCGTAAGTATTACATTTATTTTAACACAAAACCATATTATTAATGATAATGTTCAGTCTAATAATGTTAATAAGTTAAACCTTTGACTGATTTTCATAGAGATAATTTCATAAGCGTTTCATTAAGTTTTTTTTTATTGAATTATAGATTAATAGAATATTGATAACCTAACCTATATATCAATATAAAACACATTTCTATAGTTAAAAACCGAATGAGCCACTCATCATACTGTACCTATTTTCATTATGTTCATTAGGTTTCCTTAGTAATCGCTAAGTTCTTAATGGAATTTCAGTGAAGCCTACTAGTTAATACTGACTTCCAATGTAACTGTTTACAGCTTTCATTGATTTATGCTGTAGTGGATGCAGCTAGCCACTTAAGGCCCTCTTAACAATTCAACACCGAATGCAAATTCAACACCGTACTAAATTCATCTATTAATTTGTTTAGATTTGGGATTTTAAAAACCTTTGGAAGAACGTCTTTCCAGGTGAACTGTGGAAAACATAAAAATATATTACAGATAGGCCACTAACTCATGATTTTTAATTACAGGGTTAGTGCACGATGATACACTGAATCAAGAGCTTGACACTGGGCCTACTTCTGAAGAAGATCAAGTGTTAACTCCACACTTGTTTGAAGAAAATTTTAATCTCATTGAGGCTGATGTGGTTCTGGAAGATGGTTTGAACATAAGCGATGTTGTTGGACAACAAATTATTTTAACAGAAGATTCTTTTGAAAAAAGTGCAAACAATAATATCATATCAGATCAGCAAGTGGATGTTAAAAGATCAAGTAAATGTAACATTAACAATACACATCGTGTTTCACCTAATGATTTTGATGATATGGAAGAAGATCCTGATGACCCTGACTTCATTTTTCCTGCAAGTGACGGGAATAGTTCTGATTCAGAACATAGTAGGCCTACAGCAAACAGTGAAGATACCGGAGAGCAGAATGTAACGATAGAGACAAACCAAAGATCAGAAGAAAATCAGAGGACTGTGGTAGAAGAATTTGGTGATTTAAGTGAGAATAACAGCTCACAAGATGCACAGGCCCAAGTGGGTAGGAAAAGAAAAAGGAGCAAGAAAGCTGTGCCTTCTGAATGGGAGGTAAATAGAAATAAACATCGTCGTATGACTGGGCAAACGTATACTGGCTTTACTAGAAGAATGGTTGGTGATAAGATTGTAGTTAAAAAAGGTGGAGAAAAAGAAGAAAGAAAACTGGGCCCAAAGTGTAACTCCAAAATTTGCAATGCTAATAAAAAGAGGCGTTGCGGTGAATTTTCTGAAGAAGATCGGAAGAGTATTTTTAAAAATTTCTGGGACTTGTCGTGGAATGAAAAAAAATTGTTTGTGAATTCATTTATTACAAGAACAAAACCTAAACGAAGAACTATAGGGGACCCTGGTAATAGCAGGAGAAAGGGTACATTTACGTACTTTTTAAGACTGAGAGGTGAAAATAAGCAGGTATGTAAAAAGTTTTTTTTAAATACCTTGGCTTTAAAAGAGTGGATGACACACAATTGGCTGGATAAAGAAGATAGTGTTTTGATTGAAGAAGCAGCTAATGAAAACCTCGATCTTACTAATACTAACAATAATGCAAACGATGGATCAAGACATGGAAGAAGAAGTGAAAAGGAAAAGGTTATAGAGGAATGGCTGGATAGTCTTCCAAAAGTTCCTTCACACTACTGTAGGAAGTCGTCCAAAAAATTATACCTTGAACCAGTTTGGGAATCGAAAAAAGCAATGTTCAATGAATTTAAAAAATATGCTATAGCTAATCAAAAACCTTGGGGTAGTATAACATTATTCATGAGTGTCTTTGAAAGGAAAAATTTGTCTATATATGTTCCAAAGAAGGATCAATGTGATGTATGTTCTTCTTTCAAAGTTGGGAATATTTCGAAGGAAACATATGATAACCATCTAAAAGAAAAAGAGAGAGCTAGGGATGAAAAAGAAAGAGATAAACAACGAGCAATTGCGGAAGAAATTTATTGTTTGACTGTTGATGTAGAAGCAGTGAAGCTGACACCTCTCACAAGAGCTAGCGCTATGTATTATAAAACGAAACTTTGTTCACACAACTACACGGTCTATAATCTAGCCACCAAGCATTGTACGTGTTATTGGTTTAACGAAGTAGAGGGAGATCTGTCAGCCAATACTTTTGCTACATGCATTACAGACTACCTAAAAGAACATTGCTTGAGCCCTATCCGCCCCATCATCATATATTCCGATGGTGCCACAAACCAAAATAGAAACCAGATTTTGGCTAACGCGCTGTTACATTTTGCAGTACAAAATAATGTACAAGTGTCCCAAAAGTTCTTGATAAAGGGGCACACTCATATGGAGGGTGACTTTGTTCATGCAAAAATCGAAGAAAGACTAAAGGGCAAAGAAGTGTACGTGCCACATGAATTTGTTAAATATACACAGGAGGCTAGGCAGAAGCCTTTTCCATATAACACAAAATACCTCACCCATGATTTTTTTAAAGACTTTAGTAAATTATCCTACTACGATTCAATCAGACCAGGACGGACTAAGGGCGACCCAGTTGTTGTAGACATTCATTGCCTTCAATATGATCCGAAAGAAGTAAGGATTAAATACAAGCTTAACTTCGATGAAGAATTACAAGATTTACCGAGGAGGCCAGCCAAAGTAGGAAAAGACATGCAACCTTCACAGTTGTTTAAGCATAGACTTCCTTTAACAGAGTCAAAGTGGAAGCATCTCCAGGAATTAAAGACTGTAATTCCCAGTGATTACCATCAATTCTACGATTCCTTACCATATAAGAAGGCGTAGTTAAAAATCTAAAATGATAGGCTAAACATTTTTTCAAATAATGTCGTATCTTTTTTATCAATAACAAGTGATTTTATAACAGTACTGAAAGTTAGGGCCAAGCTATTTCCGATTTTTTAATACTGTACTGGTATTTGTATCCTGTATTTTATTTGACCCTATACTGTAATGATATTTTTATCATGTATTTTATTTGACCTTATACTGTACTGGTATTTTTTATCCTGTATTTTATTTGACCTATGAACTAAATACACCAATTAATACTTTCAATTCTGTGTATTTTTGTCCTTCAACACATGTTTATGGTTTATTTGTCATGATCAATAATTTAAAATGTTTTTTCTGATAACATTCAATACCACGTATCTTAAACAATATGAAGTTTTAATAACACGTAACTTAGGTTTTATTTTTTATTGTTGTTAAATAAACAAAAAATTACATTAAGGCTGTTTAAATCAAGCATGCTAGTTATATTGCATCGTTATAAAATAATATAGTGTATATATAGCCCAAAATGTTAAGAGGAAACAGTTTTTTCATTGTTGTGAAAAGTTAGGATTTTGTAGATACGTGTTATTAGAGTTTAGCCGACGATATGCATCAGTCGTCTGGCCTCCTTTTCACTCTTTGCTGAGAGCATGAGGATGTCAAGCATGGTTTCCTCAGAATGGTTGGAACACATCTTGATATCACAAGGAGGTCCCATCACACTGATGGCTAATAGTCTTGGTCCCCATTCCCTCTCCTCCAGAAGATATATTCAATATGCACATTTACTTTTAAACCTGCTGAACTGTCATGTTGACTCTGATAAACTTGTAGGTGCTATCTAATTTCACTGTTTCTCTGGAACACACTCATAGGGCTTCTTTTTAATGAGACAGTTGAGGCCCAACTACCAGCTGAATTCCTACCTGGATTGAATACAGTGCCTTGGAAATGTCATTTCAATTTCTGTAGACATGTTCATTGTTCAATTAGGCCTACTACTCTGTTACTACATTCAAGAACAACAATGTTAGAAGACTTCACCTATGTGTCTGAAACCGTAACTTCCCGAATGATCTTTGAGTCACACAACAGTGTCCACATCAACAATTTCATAGCCTTTTCAACCGTTTCTAGTCATAGTTGCCATACAAAGGCTATTGTTTGTTATTACATAGCTGTTATGTTCTCACTGGGCAACTCATTATATTTGTAATTATTTTTCATTTTCGGCTTTTTAAGTTTAAATTTTTATTTATTTTGTTACTTCTTTTTAATATTTACCTATTTCTCTTCTTTTCTTATGCATATATTTTCTTATTGCACCCCTATTGTGTATGTGCTGAAAGCAAAAACTCGTTAAATCATGTGTCTATTAGGCTTGTCATAGTTAATATTCAATTAGTCTAGCTACCTTTCTTGTATTTGTTATTTATTTTTAAAATGGCTTGTCAGCTAAATTATTATTTTTTTTATTATTATTTATCCTATACAAATTTTATACATTTGAAATAGATTTTTGACAGATCCTATTGATTTTAGGCAAAATATCACATTTGTGGCTTTGTCTGACTAACTGTGTAAAACCTACTACTGACTCATAAAAAATAAGAAAACATTAATATAAATTGTATTGTGTCCTAGATGTGTGTTTTTTGAAAAAAAAATCAAACCAACAACTTAAATTTTAACACACAAAGAGTTATTGTGTATCAGGTATTCCATTGTAATTTTTAAATATTTTTAAGTTTGATAAATCACAGAAGTTCTGCTAAAAACTAATGAAATCTAATTCTTCCAAAAAAATCTTTGAAACCCAAAAAAAGACTAATGCAGTTTTATGTAAACCAATGGCTATGACAAAGGTTCTGAAATAGAAACGATTCACAGTTGTTTCGTAAGTTTTCCTAGAACAATAATGCTCGTTTGCTGTCATGCGCAATGAATCTGCAGTTAACAGCCATCTTGAGGCTTAAACCACCAATTTACTCTTGACCTTCAATATAAACAATGAAATATTCCTCAATTCTGCATCCTCCTAAAGCTCCTTATTTTTAGACCAAGACAAGCTGGCATTTGACAAATAGAAACTAGTGTAATTAAAGGCATTTTTAAATTTTTATACTTATAATTACATAAAAAATCAAAATTATGTCATGAATCATCTCACCTGAACGAATACTACACTAATTATGTGATAAAAATAAATACATTGTTTTTATTTAGTCTGTAAGGAAAACTTCTTCTCTTAGGACACCCTATTATTTTACTTATTGCTGTCATTTCTTAAAAGACAGAATAAAGCTAAGTTTGAGAAAAAATATTGATATTTTTGAAATTTTAATTCTGGCTGATTCAATATAGGTAGGATTTATGATCCAAGGGCCCCTTGCCCCGTTTTATAGTTTAGGATCCCACTTTAAAGTAGTAGTTCACATGGCACCAAGCTGATGCCTGATGACAGCAAAATCAGTCAGGCCATACAGTGTCCCAATCTCATGACCAAGAGGACTGTTGCAATCATAATTGAAAACTTTGCAACACAAGGTGTGATAAACTAGTTAAGCTATTGCTTTTATCTTAGGGGCTTCTTTATGAATACTGCAGTGTATTAATCTTTTAAACAAATTATATCACAGATTAAAATCCTTAACATTAGTACTTGGCTGGTTTAGGCTTCCACGGATCATCTAATGATTTAATTGTAACTATTTTAATTTTTTGTTCTCTTAAACCTACATTAAGTGGTTACACTTTTGAACACCAGTCACTATAGGAGGTTTTCTTAAAGTTATAATAAAATGCTATTTGCTTTAAAGGTAATATATTTTTTAACCCATAGACACAAATCAGTATCTCTGTTACAAAAGAAAATTGCACTGCCATTTATATATTTACTTGTTAAGAATATGTATTTTATTACTCCTAAAAAAACTTGTTCCTTCTTTGTCATCGATCTCTTTGTCAGCTTTCTCTTGATCCGCTCAGGTTGTTATTCACTAATGTTAATTAATGTTTTTTGTCACACTCCTTCTGAAAACAACTCACGAACAAATGCTACGATGTAAGTAAAACCGTCACTGAACTGCAACAGGATTGCAGGCACACAAGTAGTTTCACCCATTACCTAAGAAAACCACTGCTCACTATGACATAGGGAGCAGATAGGTGAACAGAAAGTTGTATCCAGTTCCTAGAAATAGGCATGGTACAGCAAATGACACGTTGCTGACATCAGGAAAAAATCTATTTAGGCTACGGAGGAATCCCCTGCTCAGGGCCGGTTCTAGGAATTTTTCAGAGTTAAGCAAACACCCAAATCAGCGCCACTTAGAATTCCCCCCCCCCCCCAAACCCATGAACATAACTTAACCGTATTTGTAAATTTTTTCCCAATAATTTTGGGAAGAATTTTTTTTTAAGTTTAGGTAGAAGAATACTAACTTGCAATAAAAGGCTGTTTATTATTCGCAGAAATGTGACATTTATACACTTTTACTCATCATATAAACTATAGCAAAACCAAGGACACACGAAAAAAAACAGGCCGTAATGTAATGCTCGTCAAGCATGACGTCACGATAGAAGACGGCAATGACGCAATGTTTGCCGTTAGTGATCAGCTGCTTGTTTTAATCTTTCCTTCGAAAATAAATAAATAAATACCTACGTCATTGCCGTCTTCTATCGTGACTTCTTTGGGCTGACTGGACTCGCCACCAGATGATTTCTACAAAAGTCTACTCATTGATTTGGCTTTTTTTTCTTCCTCTTCCAAATTCGCCTTACGCTTTCTATGATAAGTGCCAGACGGTTTCTTTTTTTCTGCCATTGTTTTCATAGTTTCGACTCGAATATGTTTTACTCATTAATTCAGTTTATACTTTCTTTTTATTTAATGCGCTAATTATAAATTAAACTTAATGCACTCGTAATAATTCGCTTATCAACAATCATGAATCATCAAAACAATGCCAATACGATACCGACACGGTATAGGCCTACGCACGATTACTAGAAAAATACCGGTATGGATCATAAACATAATAAACATAAACATAAACAAATGACGTTTTTGGACCGAAAATAAACATTATTTAAACATTGCTTAAATGGAACTGCCAAAACATATGTTCAATGCTATTAGTAGGATTCGGGTTAATAGCGTAATTTGTTTATGTTTATGATCCATACTGGTATTTTTCTAGTAATCGTGGGCCTACGTATACAACTAAAAGAGTGCAATACAACGTTAATGCTCTGCTCTAGGATCAGAGGCAGAAAGGAGTGAAAGAAAGGGGAAGTTTCTTGTTGTGACAAGTGGCGCTGCGCGCTTGCTTATCTCGAGCATGAGTGATTCGTGAAATGAAACCCATAGGTGCCGCGCTGGCGCTGACGCTGCTGCCGAGCGTCAGCTCAGTCATTGGCTCAGTTCAAATCGAGCCTGCAAATGGCATTGAGTCCTTGAGTTGTAGTGCTGTACAAATATACACAATTTTCAAGTGCTGTCGGTACAAACAGAATAAATGCCTTTATTGTGGTGCTTTGAATACTTGAACTCTGAGCAAAAATAAAAAAAATTACGTTGTTCATGTAAAAAAAATGTTCCGTTGGCGCCACTTTTTCGTGGCGCCATATGCGGCCGCGTAGTTCGCGTATGGGTTAAACTGGCCCTGCCCCTGCTTGGCGCCCAAAGAAGTGTTAACAATACAAAATTTCAAATTGTTTTGAACTAGTTTATGATGGACACAATGCAGCAAGGATAGGTGAAAAACAACATTTCTGATTTGAGGTGCAATCATGAAAAATCCAACAATCCCGTCACTTGACACCCAATCTGACAACTTTTTAGGTGGGCCCTTCCAACCAAGCTCTGTCACAACAGTCAGGAGAACACCTCAATATTGTACACTAGATCTGATGGAGATGGGGCTCAACCCCTCAATCAACAGCCACATCTCTTAGCAGGGAAGACATCTGCTACATTTGGTGTGATCTTGAATTCCTTTTGCCTACAACTGTGCAAACTTAGAAACAATAATTTAATTTTTGAGCATCCAACATTCCCAAACACAATAGCACATATGTTACTATAGACAAAAATTCAAGCCTAACAAATCATGCAGAAATCATAACAACAATCACACACTATTATCAAGTTGCAGCAGACAACATCATGATGTTTATCATGACAACAACGATCCCAATACATGATAAACCAACTTTAGGTGGCAATGTTGAGCCAGATGGTATTCTGGTGAACTTGATTCCTATATTCCCTGGCCAATAGTCCTGAAGAATATTTTGCTATTTACTGACTAAAGCATTAAAATTGACATTGATAAATAACATCAAAATCTTGAGTAGGATTTCTGTGAACTGCACAGCAACCTAATCAATCGCTTAGCAAAATATACAATTTTTATATTTCATTCAATTCTCAACAAAACAGTTACGATTATTCATTACAAAATGTATTTAGCCTTGGAAACGTTTACATAAAATAATACCCCTTTAAAAGTCTACTAACAATTCTACTGTCATCTCATCTGCCTGTTGGTTGATCTTATAAATTTATTTTAAATTCATGCATATTGCAAACATTATGCAAGTACAGATTGTACTGTATTGGGATGTAAATAAACGGTATCAGCATTCTGACACATACTTTCTCCCATAAGTTTGTCAACAACCTTTATCATATTGTGTAAGCGGTGAGTGTAAATATACGGAATTGGGATTAGTATAATCTTGTTAAGAATTTAAAGGACTACATACAAAATTTTTATCAAAATCGTTTTGGGCCAGTTTTGTGAAAATCCGATTTTTCCGTTATTTTATGGGGTTTTTTATGGGAAAATAACATAATCTACAATAACTTTTGAACCGTAATTTTTACAGAAATGGGATTTGTACCATTTTCTTTAGAATATAAAGGACTATAACATACCAAATGTTTATCAAAATATTTTGGGCCGTTTTTGGGAAAATCCTATTTTTCCGTTATTTTATGGGGTTTTATGGGAAAATTTCCATAAAAATTAATTTTTTTTTAATGAAAAAACTATCAAAACTTTAAGGACCATAACATACTATGTTAAATTAAAACCGGATTTTTTTTCTAAAATCCTATTTTTGTTATTTTACGGGGTTTTTATGGGAAAATAACATAATTTACCATAACTTTTGAACCGTAATTTTTAGAGAAATGGAATTTGTACCATTTTGTTCAGAATTTAAAGGGCTACAACATACTAAATTTTTATCAAAATCGTTCGGGCCATTTTTGAGAAAATTCGATTTTTCCGGTTTTTTATGGGTTTTTATGGGAAAATCCCCATTAAAAATCAAAATTTCAAAAAAATGAAAAAAACGCCTGGAGATACCATGGATTAGAACCTACATACCAAATTTCATCGAAATCGGACCACAGGTGTAGTCCCTAGCTCTGTACACATCCAGACACACAGACACACACACACACACACACACACACACACACACACAGACATCACTTCGAAAACCACTTTTTTGGGTCCAGGGGGACCCAAAACGAATATATCCACTCAAAACTCAAACTCGAAAATTTTGACGAAAACAATACTTTCTCCATATACTATGGTATAGGGGGAGAAAGTAAAAACTGACAAACTACACAGTGTGATAAAATTATGTGGGTTTGTGTTCTTAGACATATTGCAAGGATCTAAAACTAGTTTTTAGCCAAGCTAAAAATTAACAGTTTTAAATATTTTCCACAACAAAATTGCATTCATGCTTCAATGACCCTACCAAGCAAATATAACAGCCTAACTTTATATTCCTACGTCCATCCAACACTGTTCTCACGAAACGATATCGATAATGTCTTTAGCAACAAATCTTAAAGCTACATGTAAATAGAAGGTACAAAACAAATTACAATTTTCAACATCTGGATTGTTACATTTATGATCATCCAGCTGTCAGTTACTGCACAAATCGTTCAGTAACGTAAATTCATTTGGCAAGACGGGAACACAAATACATTAAACGTGCAAACATAGACCACCACCACCAAGTCATGCAGTGAGAGGTGGGGATGCCTACCCTTATTAACTGGTGTAGAGGGTCTAAGCAGCCTATACCTGGTGCGCCAGCCTGCAAGCCATCACATCACATGCTATATACACACACATAAATGCTTGGGTTACAGGGTTACACGACACATTGCCTTAGTCTTATATATTCTATCTCTTCCTAATTAGAACATCAAAGAGGTAATAGATGTGAGGTACAGTTTTTGACATATTTGAATATTTTGTTTTGAGGTTGTTTGCTCTGTGCTTATTTTCATGCATATATTACACCTTGGGCCGTGACACATTGTACATGCACAAGAGTTCAAAATGGTGATTTTGCCGTGGACCAGTAAAAACAACAAATTAATGAAAAATAAGAGGATAAATAAGAAAAAGAACAGAGTTACAATTCTCTCGACAGTGAGGTTTTACATTGATGTTTCGAGTACCTAAGTTAAGTAGAGTCATGTCTGTATGATAACAAAAATTTTATTTTACCTGAGATAAAGACAACCGATCCCTTCTATTTGTAGTGTCTACAACTATTTCATACTTAGAACTCACGAGTTCATTATCAGATATAAACACTTCTAGGCCTAAATTGTGTAGTTTTTGGAACGCAAGTACCGAATCATGTGTATTTTTTCCTTGGCCATTTTTACTGTCAAATGTACTTAATTAATATTTGTGTATTTTTATTTTTAAATTATCTAGAGCCTAAATTGATGATCTCAACTTCAAGGAACCATGCAACTTGACGTTTTTGGACCAAATGAGTACTATTGAGTTTGACACTACGAAGAGATCATTGGCTGAAGCACAGGTAAAATAAACCTTGGCACAAAGTTCACATTGCCGTACTGAGACTCCACCTAACCACTGTAAATGTGATAGGGTAGAAGGGGGAATTGGATATTAGGGGTAATTGGGTTTTAAGTTTTTAACATTTTACTATAAAATCAACCGTTCTTCATATTAGAAAGATTGTTTAGATCAGTAGTGATTGATGGTAGTTTTAGCGAATTTCCCTTATAGGGAATATTAGCAAATTTCCCTTATAAGGAATAAGCTATTACCGTAGGTCTCATGGTAAGACCTAGACCCGGGACTGATTTACTTTTTCGTTTTGAGGTCCTCAGAGGCCAAAAACACCATCCATTTGAATTCATATATATATATGGTTAGCGCGATAACTCAAGCAAAATTGATCCGATTTTGATGAAATTTGGTACAAACCTGTAAACCTACATTTATTCGAACGAGTTCGCGAACCAGCATAATCGGACCATGGAACAGGGGTTTATGGGGGGTTTTATGGGATAAAAATGGGGTTTTCTAATTTTTGACCCTAATAACAAAAAAATTTGCAAACCCTTTTGTAGAGCTTAAAAAAAGAAATAATTTAGTATATTGAAGCGCTGTTGTATGCCTAACGGTCACAGAGAAAATTCAAAAAAAGTTTAATATAAAATTCCCATGTTAATCTTATGGAGGAAATGAAAACTGTTGTAGTTTACTTGTTAATGGATATATGTTGATAAAATTTGGCAAATTTATTTATTTCATTCTATACTATTGATGTATACTCAATAACACTTTTTACCTTCCCAGTAGCAGCAAACCTAAGCACTCGTTAAATCTAATGTTATTAAAATTGGGAATGAATAAGTCTTATTTAAGGAAATATTTGAGTAAAAATGTATTCAGACAAGTTGAAATTCGCTTAGTCTGCAGGTTTTCTGCGGCGAGGGTATTTTTTACATTCATAGGTTTTTCTTATGTTTGTTACATGTAAATTTAAATCAGTCAAAACATTTTTTTGACCCTTATAACAAACTTTGTCCGAGTAGCCTTGGAAATATTTAAATTATAAATATACCGATCATCTAAAAACAGTCCTACCCATTTGCTCAATGAAAAATTATCCTTCGAGTCAAATTTAATTTACAATACTGCAATAGATATGATAGATGGCAGTGTCAGTGTAAGGCGAGGATCTGACAAAGACGGCAGTGGGAGGGGGCACATACGTCACGCTCCGACATCGACGCGTACGCGTGCCCAGTCATGACTCATCTTTTGCCGGCTACACCACGCACGCTACCGTACCAGTATTATAATTGGCCAATTTTGTTTAATGTTTAGTGTTTTCGTGTTCGTGTCTTACGTGTTATAACGACTCTCCACAGTTATGAAGAGGATTATGTGTTTTTAACTGGTACCTGCTTGAAAATGAACCTTTAGGTTCGAAACCTGGGTCGCTGACCTAAATTCCAGGATCACTGACAGTACTACAGGTATTTAACCTTTTTATTAGTAAATTACGTGATCCAGAGGCTAAACATGCTAAAATGTGGGTTATGTTGTATAGGACAAGGGACAACAAAACAAGTCAAGTTATGTGCAAAATGTTCCACGATTCTTTTTGTAGTGTAGTTTCACATAAACTGCTTTAGGATTGAGAGGTACTCTGGCGTAGTTGGGGCTGGAAGCAAAGTTTCAGTTTTTTACATATAGGAAAAAAAATTTAATTGTAAAATGTAATATTTATGCTTATAAGCCTAACAAGAGCCAAGATATTAATACAATTCGCAACCGTTCAAAATTTGCTTACTTTTTAGTTATGTTAAAATGGAATATGTTTAGTACTGGTAGCCTAATATTTGCACAGTCATATTGTTAAGTTCCTTTATAAAAACACCATCCACAGACATTAGTAAAAGAGAGAAACAGAAATACATAGGAACAGGTACTCAATTAGTAATTGGTAAATGATACAATTAATTGTTAAGTATTATTTTTTAATTGTTAAAACCCATGTAAGTAAACATATCACATAATGTTCTATTATTCTTTATAGACAAAGCTAGAATTCCTGATATCACCAAAAAAATATACAAGTTAAAATGTGCGCAGGTAAGTGTGAATACCGGTAGTTGTCTCCAATCGCCGTAGTAATTTTTTCCTGAATTTATATTAAAAAAATAGTCTACTACACACAGGCTTAATAACACTTAATTAGGCCTACTGAAATTTGAAAATTAAATTAAACCTTTTCACAGGCAAAAACATTTCAATACACATTTTCTTCAAATAAACTTGGGTTTTAGAGTAATCTATTTAATTTTATTATTATTTTTTATTAGGCTATCTGAAATTACTAAGGTAGGTTATTTTATCCCCTACTAACCTCTGTATCTGAATCGTAGTATATCAAATGACGCTTTGTCAGAACAAACCATCGTTGTTTGAAGTTTACAGGAGTGAATCTTTTCTTATTCTGAGATCGTTTTACCATAAAACCTTGTTTGACAACAGTGTCTGCATCTTTCCCAGCCATTTTACTGCAACAATCACAAATAAAATACTAGCATAAACTTATAGGTACTAAAAATTCCAAAACTAATACATTATTTCTAAAGCAAAAACCCTTTCCGCTCAATTCGCGGGGGAGCCCCGCCGTTCGTCATGGGCTCAAACTCTAATGTCGGGCCGGGTCTGCCCGTCACTATGACAATGTAGGCCTACTAACTTATGCTTGTATTTTGATTTTTTATTTTTTTTTGTAAGTATTTGGAAAAAGATTACCAGCCTTCTATCAATCAAGACGATATTTATTTTTTGGTAAATAAATGAAATATGCAAATTTGGCTCAAATTAAATGTTCGGAGCTGGTGAGAAAATAGGCCTCCCGTAATTGGAGAGGAAAGGGTTAACTTAACCCATTAGTTGTTTAATTGTGGACTGCCGTTTTGCTTATTAATGTTTTCATGTGTTTTGTTGTATCGGATGACAAATCTTAACACTGTCCATCAAGGTTGGAGCAGCTAGGATTAGGGTTACCATACGTCCAGATTTTGTCCGGACAGTCCGGATTTGGAACACGTGTCCGGTTTGGTGTCCGGATCTGTGAAATGTCCGGATTTCACTAATATGAACTGAAAACGTGGCCTAATTGGGGAATTTTACGCAGCGCGGCAACTTATCTTTGTAACACTGTCAGAACTGCGCGCTCACTGCCAGCTGTCTGTGTCAGTCTGTTCCAGCCACCAGCTCAAGGTTACTCACAGTCGCAATCCACACAGCGCCTAGAGCGGACGACTCGCACTGTTTGTATTCATATTGTGTTGGTTACATGGTAGTTGGTTTAAAAATAACTCTTATTTTGTGTGCCTAATGTTCTAAGTGACTTTGTACTATTATTATAGTGTTCAGTTTGTAAGTTCAACTGTACAAAATGCCAAAGCGAAAATGTGTTTTTACTGACAAATTAAAAGAAGAGTACAAGTTTTTGAAACTGTGTCAAAACAGCAGTGACCGCGTGAGATGTTTGACGTGCAACTCTGAATTTTCGGTGGAGCATAGAGGACGATACGACATAGAAAATCACTTGGAGAGTGAGAGACACAAAAAGGCCAATCAAGCAACATCCTCGGCAAGTATTAAAACGTTTTTTAAAAATACTGATGTCACAGAAGCTGACTTGCAATGTGCAGCAAAAGAGGCGACTTTTGCCTACCATACCGCAATGCACGGACTTAGTTTTAAAACGTCTTATTGCACTTCCAAACTCATTAAAAAGATGTTTGAGCCCAAATTTTCGGGGGCTCAGACAAAGACCGAAGCAGTCATTGTGAATGTGATATCTCCTTACATATTTGACAAACTTGTGACGCAAAATTCTAGGGGGGGAATAAACTAGTATTCACCAAGTCAGGCTAGGCCTACCCCTAGAACTGGCCACACTCAAATTTCTTCCCCGGAGTGCTCAGAAGGAGCCGAGAAAAATCCAGGGGTCGATACGAAGTTGTCACGGCTTTGACTGATCAATTTATTAAAATTCTATCGAAGGCTCAGAGCTCTAGAAGCGCTCAGGAAATCCTGCAGACGCTCAGTAGGAGCTATTTCATCCTCACCTTCGTTAAAGTGTTTTGTTAAATTTTGCCTAACCTTTGGAATGACTCTGTAGGGCCGACGAGTATTCAATCTTAAGCCAATGTGATATAAATACTCGTATTAAACTGTTGTGACGCAAAATTCTAGGGGGGGAATAAACTAGTATTCACCAAGTCAGGCTAGGCCTACCCCTAGAACTGGCCACACTCAAATTTCTTCCCCGGAGTGCTCAGAAGGAGCCGAGAAAAATCCAGGGGTCGATACGAAGTTGTCACGGCTTTGACTGATCAATTTATTAAAATTCTATCGAAGGCTCAGAGCTCTAGAAGCGCTCAGGAAATCCTGCAGACGCTCAGTAGGAGCTATTTCATCCTCACCTTCGTTAAAGTGTTTTGTTAAATTTTGCCTAACCTTTGGAATGACTCTGTAGGGCCGACGAGTATTCAATCTTAAGCCAATGTGATATAAATACTCGTATTAAACTGTAAACTATCTGGCTAAGGACGTTGGTAAACAATATCGAATAAAAGGTAAAAACAATTCCTACAGAGTCGTCGGGGCCTAATTAATATAACTGGACGGATAATTTAACGTGAGATGATTTAAAATAAATTTAGTATTAGTTTTCGTAGCTGATTGTTCAAATCAGCCTGCTCCCAAGACTTGATTCTTTCACCCGCCAAAGACGGGGTTTAGAACTCAGACGACAAGTCTCGTGGTATTAAAACGTCGAGTCAATTAAAATAATATAAGTAATAATTACTCGTTAAGCTAAAGGAGAAATCGTAATTTCGAAACTAATTGATTAAAATAAAATAAACGATCGCCACCGCTAGTCACTGGCAGGCAGGAACTGGCGGGTCAAGACTCAAGTTACGATATTAAATTTAGATAATTCGAATCGGTAATTTAAGAAAACGAAAAAGTAAAATAAGTTAAGTATGCGTATAATAAAGATAAAACAAAAATAACGTGAAACGTAAAAAGGAGCCTAACTGATGTGTTAGCTAACCTTCGTAATCGAATCGTAGGGTCGTATTCGTAAGTCGTGTGTGAGCTAGTCGGCGGTCAAACAGGGAATAATTCTTGTCCGGCTCAAATCATGATTTCCTCGGTCGAGGCTTAATTGCTCTGGTGGCGAGTTTGAGAACTAGCCAACAGCTGATCGGAAATTCGCCTGTTGAGCCGGTCTAGTTGTCGTCTGTCGTTGGTCAACAAACACCATTTCGAGGTTAAGTGATGTTGTCATCGGCGTTAAATATTCGTAAAATCGGTCGTTTTAACTTTATTATGTGAAACAAAGTGCTATTATGAATAAATATATCGTTGTGGGTGTGTTTGTGTACTTCACTGTTATTAAAAGTAGGCCTACGTTCTTTGGCCCATAGCCCAAGCTATGGCCAACACATAGGTCTAGGAGTAGGATGTTGTGGGTAAAAATCGGGTAAGTTATGGTGTTTGTTGACTAGCAATACGTTTTTACCCCCTTTAAAATTTGGTACCTCACAAACTGCTCAAAAATCTCAAGGATGCAAATTTCCTCACACTAACAATTGACAGCTCAAACAGAAAAGATGTTAAATTGACTCCTGTATGTGTCCGTTATTTTAACCAAAATGAAGGTGTTAACGTAAAACTGTCATTTTTTGATGAACTTCCGGGAGAAACATCTGATATTTTAGTAGAACATCTTTTAAAATGCATCAAACAGTTCTCTGTTGATTCCAAAGTTGTGTGTCTGTGCTGATAACACTAATACCAACTTTGGTGGAGTCAAAAGGCATGGCCAAGGCAATGTTTTTCAAAAATTGCAAAAGGCTCTGTCAAGACCAATCCTTGGCATTGGCTGCTCTGCTCATATTATGCATAACACAGTGCAGACTGCTTGTGATGCCATGCCTGTTGATGTTGAGGCGATTGTTGTCAAAGTTTACAAATTCTTTTATCAGTATACTGTCAGAGTGACCGCATTAAAAGAGTTTTGTGAATCTGCAGAAGTTGAGTATAGAAGAATGCTTTCACACGGAAACACAAGATTTTTGAGCTTAATGCCTGCAGTGGAAAGGATACTGATGATGTTTGAGCCATTGAAGTCGTATTTCTTATCAATCGAAAACTGCCCTGCATCGTTACTTGCATTTTTTGAAGATCCAGTAAATGAACTTTATCTAACATTTGTGCATGGAAGCCTTCAAATGTTTCAGATGACCATTCTCAAAGTTGAGTCTGATCAAATTACTGCTACAGAAGCGTCACAGGCGTATGAAGAATTAGTTATCAAACTGGAAGAAAGGAAGGCAAATAACTTTATACCGTTTGCAGCAAAACAGTTACAAAGGAAGTTAAAAAATGAGGAAGCCTTTGATGATAAGAAGGAAGAACTTTTTCTGAAAAGTGTAGAAGGATTTTATACAGCTGGGATTAGCTACTTGAAACTTTGGGAAAACAGCTTTGATAAGGCTAACCACTTCAAATGGTTAACATTACAACATGATCCTACCTGGGATGAGATGGAAGACAGTGCTTCAACTGTAGCCAGCGTTATACCAGATTCTATTAATGTGGATGAACTATTTGATGAGCGTTCGTCACTGATCCACGTTTTGAAAAATCTTAAACCAGCATGGGATTCCCTACCAAAAGACGAAAAACCCAAAACTCAAGACAAATGGAAACAAGTATTTGAAGTATGTTCCAAAAGCAATGTGTCCCTTGTGAATATTTTCAAAATAGTGGAATTCGCCATGTGTCTGCCTGGTACTTCGGCTCCAGCCGAGCGCATTTTTTCAATGATGGGGTCTGTCTGGACGGCTGAAAGAGGAAGATTATCTCTGCCAGTTGTAAGAGATCTTCTTTACATTAAAGCAAATTCTGTTTTGACATGCTCAGAATTCCACGACCACATAAAAAATGACAAACCTTTTTTGAAGAAAGTCAGTTCATCTGAAAAGTATGAATCAAGAAGGAAGATCGACGAACCTGTCCCTGGACCCAGCACATTGTAATCAAAAGTTGGAGGGTTTAAGCAAGTAATTGAGAAACTCCAAATAATATAAACACTCGTTTTTTTTACTATTAATATGTAATGGAATTTGAATTTGAGTGATTGTAATTAAAAAGGCTTAATTCTGATAAATTTGTAATTTTTTAAACCCAATAATCCTCATTTTAGCGAATTTCCCATATAGGGAATAAGCTATTACCGTAGTACTCATGGTAAGACCTGGACGCGGGACCAATTTTTTTTTTCGTTTTGAGGTCCCTAGAGGCCAAAAACACCATCCGTTCAAATTCATATATATATATATATATATATATTACTTATATATACAAAATATAAATATACTTATATTTATATATATAAATATAAAATATTATATACTTATATAAATGCAAGAAAATAATAATGAAATGGCTAACAACCAAAAGATAATTCATACCATTAAAT